CCCCCCCCCCCCCGCGAACTGATGAGAAGCACGTCCTCCAATAACTTAGCTATGAATTAAATAGTAGTGCTACGAATTTTAACCCGTAGATAGCCTCGTTGAGACTTTCCTAACAGGACTTATCAATTTCTGAAAATTGATCCAAATTGAACTTCAATCGCGAATAACCTCGGGAACGTAAAATCGGATTGATCTGCGGTTATCTTCCCTATAAGTAAAACTAAAAAAATAAATCTGCAGGAGAAGTTTGGGTATAGTTAGATTAGATTAGTTTATGTCAGGCCATTTACGGTTACATTAGGTAAGCAAGGTGAAAGGTAGGTAGGGTAAAGTCGGGGTAAGTTAAATTCTGTGAAAGTGGGTTAGGTCTTGTAAGGTAAAGTTGGGTAAGGTTGCGTTAAGTTAGGTTAGAATGAATTAGAGTAAATAACAGAAAAAGAACAAGCCTTGATTTCTGAAATATTTTTTAGAGGGAAGTTTTAAGTTTGACATTGTGATTGTTGACAATGTGATCATCTTTCATAGGAGTCAGAATTTTTATTTTTGGATGATCACGGTGTCAACAAAAACTTAGAAAAACTGTTTGTTGACAGCTCGATCACTGACACCATACTATATGTAATCTAAACTTTGATAGCTCGTGCCTCGCGTACCAATAGTATTTCTGGGAGGTACAAGGTGTCAAAATGTAAGGAAAAGTACGACAAATAGAATGAACAGCTTTTCGTTCGAATCGAGAATCCGGCATTTGACGATGTACTAAGGGTTGAAAAAAAATTGGCCCTTAAGAAAGTGTGAAAAATGGCATCATTGTAATTTTAATTATCTTAACGATCAAATTGAATTCATATTTCAAAAGAAAGTAATTTTTGAAGATTTTTAGCTCAAACCGCACTTCAATATCTTTTCGTTCGAAAGATGTGGAACTCAATGGTTTTTAACTTGGCAACACTGCCACGCTGAAAGAAATTATTTTCAGGCCTTGAAATTTTGGGGAAAGGCGTATCCTATAGTAAGGAAGAACATAATGAAAATTGGTTAAAATCCAGGAGGGGGAAATTTTGCCGATTTTGCTTACACCCCTTCCTCGAAATTTTCACGGCCGTAAACGCATTTTCTGGCGGGTCCAAAAATCGGATATCGCGATTATCCGGCCGGATACGGATACCTGCTTAAATCTTATCCGGTCGGGGTCCGATATCCGGAATTCGGCTGAATAATCGCGATAATCGCCGGATACCCGGCCCAACTCTAGTTGTATTTGTATTTCAGTTACCTTGTCCCATATACTTGAAAACACTAAAAACCGAACCGGCAAGCTACTCTGCCTGTTCTCATGAAACCACCTTCAAATGTGCATGGGAATTTTTGGTGATGGGGGGAGGGGATAGTGACGGAAGCATTGTTACTGGAATATAGGTTTTACAAGTAATTCCTTGCTTTTGGAATTCTAATTTTGGCTTGCATGAATTTTTTGAATTTCAAAAAATTGAAATGAAACCTTGTGTCTTGGCAACTTCTGTTTCTATGATAGCTCTTCTTAAGGTAAAACTTTTCATCTTTGTTCCAGATGCGCTGACTGAATCCATAGCTGAGTCACTGGAAAACCAAGCAACCCGAGGGAAAATGGAACGTTTGAGAATGATTATGGAAGAACGAAGAGAACGTAGAAAAGCTAGACGTTCAGCTCCTTACAACAAAAACAATTCCTTAAATCCGTTAGATTCTGATCAGCAGCATACACATTGGTCAGCTAAGTCAGAAACACAAAGTGTTCTACCCGACCCGGATCCCACATTACCCTTGGAAGGTGAAGCTCCCGTATGTTCTGAATTATCACCAGAGCCTGTTGTTGCCTAGTTCCTTTCGTCAAGTCGAACATTTGTTCCAGATATTTTCTTTATTACCAACGCAAAATGATTACTTTACATGTTCGGGAGGGAGTCTCGATCATGCTTCATTGCTCTCATTGTGAGGAAAAAAAGAGGAAGAAAGAAAAACTGAGTTGAAATCAATTGATCCTCATTTTATTGTCATGAAGTGCTCTCTTAAATTATGATTATTATTTTCCCAAACTTTCTTCAAAGTTTCCAAGAATGTGATCCCAGGGTGATAAAGGGTAAAGGTGAACTCAAGTTTAGCATAGAGAAACTGAGCCACAATGTATTTGAACTAAGAAAAAGAGGTTAGAGGTTTAATTCCTCCTCAAGGCTTTATGTCAAAGAAGAATGATTTTAGAACCTTCTTTCACTTTCTAAGTATACTTTCTTGATCTCAAATTCTAACAAAAGAAAATATATAACTAGTTAAGCCCAAAACTACTTCTCAGCCACTTTACTTAATGATGTACTGAGCTTGAGAAAAGGAGAGAGGGCCTTCATAACAAAACAAGAAGTGGTTCATCATGCTTATTAAACGTTGACTTTTCCTTGAAAAGTATTGCTCTTTTCATTTTTTTATTTTATAGTAGGGTTTCTCTTTTTTGAAAGTGACGTGTTAACATGTACTTGTTAGTGCCAAGTTAGTATGACTACCATCAGTTTATCATTGCCTCAGTCCTATGAACATGGGCTGGGAAGAATGAAATTCTTGAAAAATAAACCAGTTTTCCAGCTAAAATAAAGGTGAGTATATTTATTACAATGCCTTTCCCAAGAGAACAGAGTTGGCCTGTTTCTAGAAAACTATTAAAACTATAACCTAAAACTGCTCGGAGATTTTACCAAGAACTTTCTAATGAGTCCTTGTTGAGTTCATTTGACCGTCAATTCTTTGTTTTATGTAGATTTTCTGGAAACGTACCAACATTAAAAAATGGTTTGAAAAATTCTCCAGAATCTTCCAGTCAATTTTCATTATCTACGGTCACTTTGTTTGGATACAACACCAGGAATTAAGTTTGCAACCTTGTAGTTGTTCAGAGTGATCCAAAACCGAGTTCTCCCCACCCCTTACCCCCCTCCTAGAAGTGTCCTTTCCACCCCCTCTAAACTTTTTACCTAATGAAGGTAAAGATTTGAAACTTGGGGGATGTCTTTAGGTCGAAGGGAGCTACTTTTTGACCCACATAAAATTTTCATGAGGCAACGGACCTAAATTTTTTTCGAATGGAAAGTTCCTCCCTTACACTACCTCGTTCACAAGAGTTTAAAAAAAGAGATTTCACTCAAACCCAAAGTCAATACCTCAAACCGTCTCAAAATAAAGGGCGGTTCAAGTTTAAAATGGTGAAAAATTGGCACTGCGATTTTTGGTTGATGAAATTACCCCAAATTCGATAACAGGAGGTATTTTAACACGAGAAAAACAAAGAGCCTCCCCAAAAAGGGTTGTTTTCTAGCCCCCTTTTGGATACCCGAGTTGGTCATCGGGACAAGGCTCAAATGAAAGCTTATGGTAAGACAAACTTCCAGGCAAAGTTTCAACTTGAAGTGACCCCTCGATTGGCCGTAGAGCGTTGCCAATTTTCTATTTATGTTTGCTAAAATCAAGGAATTCTGGACTATTAGTCCTCTGTGTCCTAGTTAAACTGACTAGTAAACCCAAGTTGGTCAAGGAGATATGGCTCAAATAAAAACTTAAAGCCGACTGCACACATAGCAAATGTTGACCAGCAAGTGGCACATTGGTTACATCAGTGGCCGTGCAAACTGCGCGGCCCGCGCAGTTTGCAGTGATCAACATTCAACACAGCGGCACCGATGTGCCACTTGCAGGTCCCCATTTGCTATGTGTGAAGTCGGCTTGTGGTAAGGTAAACTTCCAGGCAAAGTTTCAACTTGAATTGACACCTCGTTTAGGCTGTACAGCGATGCCAATTCCTCATGTTTTATGTGTTAAAATCAAGGAATTCTGGACTATTAGTCCAGTGCATCATAGTTGAACTGACTAGTACAAGCGAGTTGGTCGACAGGACAAGGCTCAAATGAAAGCTTATGGTAAACTTCCAGGCAAAGTTTCAACTTGAAGTGACGCCTCGTTTACGCTGTACAACGTTGCCAATTTTTCATTTTTCTGTGCAAAAATCAAGGAATTCTGGATCATTAGTCCAATGTATTATAATTAAGCAGACTCGTACGCCGGTCTACAGGCTAAACACTACCCTGAGATCGTATAGAAACGCAATTAAAGGCCATTGTGAACTTTCCAAAGCAGTGTTGCCAATTTTTTATTTATTTTTTTAACATAGAACAAGGGTATTTTTGAAATTTTTGACGGAAAACGTACCTTCATGGGCTATAACTATGACGAGAATGGGCTAATTCAATTTTTGGTATGAACGACAACTAAAGTCTGTGGCAGGAGGCTCAGGTTCTCTTCTCTGCTCCCAGGTTAGAGAAAACCATTGGAATCACGTTTCGTCTTCCAAAAATGAAGCTGAAAAATATCTTTGTTTAATCGTAAAAATGCCATAAAATGGTATCATTGGCTTACAAATTCATCTTCTCCTTTAAAAACCAATCCTATAATATTGTATGGTAATATTTTGCCCTCACCGTATGGTGACAGCACCTTAAAGTACAATTTTCGTCCCAAAAACTCAATAATATCGGCGTCTTACCGTAAAACAAATGTTCACAATTTGGCAACGTAGCTCTGAAAATTCTATTTTTGCCTTGAACAGTAGTCATGTACTATGCCATGGTGGTGTTCAGTCATCAGCATGGGAGAAGTGCCTTGAAAATTACGTTTGCCAAGCATTCTCTTGAGGAAATCTTTCATTCTTGTAAGAAATTAAAATAAAGTTGGCAACATTGCTTTAGGAGTTCAAATTTCTCCGCAAGTAAAGATCATTTACTATCGTATGGTCATGATTTTAGCCCATACTTGTCAAAGTTGTAATCGATGAAGGTACGTTTTCCGCCAAAAAATCTCGAAAATACCCTCATTTTATGTTTAAAAAAAAAAAAAAAAATACAAAATTGGCAAGACGGCTTCGAAAATTTCACAAGGGCCTTTAACTGCGTTTCTTTACGATCTCCGAGTATACCGACGCATAAGTCTGTTTGACTATGATGCACTGGACTTCTCGTTCAGAATTCCTTGATTTTAGCACATAAAAATGAAAAATTGGCAACGTTGTACAGCCTACGAAGTGTCACTTCAAGTTAAAACTTTGCCTGGAAGCTTGCCTTACCATAAGCTTCCATTTGAGCCTTGTCCCGTTGACCAACTCGGGTATCCAAAGAAAGAGGCTAAACTTGGTGAGGCTCTCTCCTAGACAAGATTTTTTTTTCTTTTTTTTCGTTTAAAAACCGAAATTTCTAAAACGGCGGCCAAATAAAGTTTAAATGGCCGGAAATTGCCATTACAGTTTTTGGTTGATGAATTAACCCGAGACAGGCAGACCAACGATTCAATTCGCGAAGAGTGACAAATTCAAGATATTGCCAAATGGACCAAGATGCTCCAGAAAATGTGGTCAGAACATGTTGAGAGGATGGACGGAGAAAGGCTTGCCACGCTTTGTATAGTAGGACGACCTTATAGCCAAAGGCAACCTGGACCACCGCCCAAGGGATGGGCAACGAGCAGCCTTTCATCTCCAGAGGACCATTAAGTGATCTCACTCATCACCATCATATTTTACTATTTTATAGGCTAGACAAACAGGGTCACAGCCCTAGTCAAAAGTTAGAAGAAGAAGAAGAATTAATCCGAGACTCGGTAATGAAAGGGCTATAACTCGCCCGGCAACGCACTTGACACGGGCTCGCTCTGGGGGCGTAAAGAGCGTGAATATTTCGGGGGCGCCTAAAAGGCGAGGTCTCCACCAATCCGCGAATTTTAGGAGCCACGGATAGCTCACATGGTTGAATGATGACAAGACAACAATTGATTGATTAAATGAATGATTGATTGATTTAATAATCATAGACAGAATACACGAATCAAATTTCAGAACAACGAAACCGAAAAACACAACTAATTCTTCTTCAAAATCTTCCAAACTTCCAAAAACTCTCCAAAACAACCGAAACTCAAAAACAGACAAAAACTACAGCTAGCACACCAGGACTTGGCGGGGGCAACGGTCGGACGACTCTAATGTGCTGATCCTCTATGCCGGGGGTCTCGCGGAGGCTGCTGACGAATTTTCACTCAAAACGTTGACGGAAGGGTTGAACCGCACTCAGTGACTTGGCGGGGGCAACGGTCGGACGACTCTAATGTGCTGATCCTCTATTCCAGAGGTCTACGGAGGTTGATTCGACACCGCCGAAAAACACTTTGAGGACTCAGGGATGGAATTTTACGTGCACCTGGACATTACACGGAATCGCGACATTTCCCATCCCGGCGAACATGAGCGACTGAGTTAAGAAATTTTCCGGAAAACGCGCGTCACCGTGCACCGCCGCTTCCTACGTCCCGCGCGTCCTGCCCCTTTACGCCAATGGCATCTCACGAAAAGTGCTGATCAATCTAGGGCTGGCCGCGGTTCACACGGGAAACAAGAGCAAAATCTAACCTATGACGTCACAATATTTCCTCCTCGCTGAGCCGCTGTCCGGCAAGCGATCCGCGCTATTCTCCCAGCACAAGGAGAACATGAATAATTTTTAAGTGTAGGGCTCAATTTTCGTTTCAGTAACCAGGGGTATTTTGGCTTGGGGGAAACGAATTTATAGTTAAATTTTTGGAATAACCTATTTTTGGCCATCATGAACTTAAACTGGCCGCCATTTAAACAATTTCGGGTTCGTCCTCCAAAATCTAACATTAAATTCATTTTGCTCTCGTCAATATACCTCCCGTTACTGAGTTACGGGCAAATCTATCTACCAAAAACCGAGGTGCCAATTCTTGGCCATTTTAAACTTAAACTGGCAGTTGTTTTGAAACGGTTTGAGATATTGACTCCGGGTTTACGTGAAATCTCTTGTTGGAGAATTATTTCTAAATGTGACCTTTGAGGTTAAAAAATCAACTCAACTTGTGCTCGATAAATTGTGGTCACCGAATTGGAAAACCTTCAATTTTTGAAATGAGTTCACTTTTCATTCCAAGTTCCTAGATTCGCAAGATTTTCCAGTTTTTCTAAAGGCATGTTCAGATTAGTGATTTTCAAAGTTATGTTTGGAGCAAGTTTTATTCACTACATATTGCATTTTTAAGAGTTACAACCACATGGAGTTACAGTCAAGTTCCTCAACAATATCAAACAGTGTGCAAAGAGCAGAAAAGTTCAAATATATGCAATATTTTTCCACATTTTGTGAGGGCATGTGAAAATGTAACGTCCACAACAGAAAAGCTTTTAAGCTTGATGCCATTTAACGCAGGAGCCAGTTTAGAAGTTCATGTTTGGTAAACGATAAGATACTCAAGCAGTATCCGAACGTATTTAGATACTTCAGTTTTCATGTTATACAAAGTTGAAAAAGTGTAACGTCCACAATGTAGAGGACGTTACACGGCTCTAGCAAGAAATAATCTCACATTTAACTTGTTTGATAGGCTGTTATTATAAATTCAGGTACACTGTAGCAGCCCTATTATGTTTCAATTTATTTCTACGTATGAAGTGTGTTCAATTTTAAATTTAATTTCGGTAAAACGTTTTTCATTATTTTTTGAAATATTTTATGAATTTGTCCTGATGATGTGCATTTAAATGCA